GGTGGTAGATAGTTGCAGGGGGGGGGGTAGTTATAATGTGTAGGGATGAAATTTTTATTTATAGATGAACAAAATATGCAGATAATTTTAAGCTCAACAATTCTTACATGTTCTTATTATTTTAGGAAATGTATTGTAAATGTAATTTAGACGTTTTTAACATTAATAATTATTCAAGGGCGATTTTGTTTAACAAACAACTGCTTTTTTAACGTTCCAATATTTTTATAATTATTTGGAATGATGGTATGGTTAACAGGATATCACGTTCGTTTCTTGAGAGAACGACTGTTCTCCTTTAACGATTTACGATAACGATTTACCTCATGATCAATGAATAGTATCCTGGATTCCTCTCCGTTTACTGCTAAACTAACTTCCTTCTCAATATCATCCTCTGAACAATACATAATCAAGAAAACCATTAGTTTCTTTTTTTATCATTTATCTTCTTAATTATATAACTGGCATATTGATATATATGGACCTAAGCTCCTCTATATCTCCTACTTATATACTAACTAATACAACTGCTTACAATATTTCAAACCAAAAACTGTGATATAACGAAGACATTTCAGCAACTTTTGCTTATATAAGCAACTCATAAGGTAAAATGGGTCTGAGAACAAATGCACAATTGCCCAATTTACAACGATACCCTTTAAACCTTTGACTGGTCATCTTAGGCTAAAAAAACTCCTCGTGGTTATTTCTAAAATGGTGTTCAAATCGATAAAAAATGGACTGTACGCTAGCGAACAGAGTGAACTGAACGCAGTTGACAATCAGGAAACGTCCATCATCCTTAATCAGTCAAAAGTATCTTTAAGTCGAACAGACGTCATCCTATCTTATAGTTTGTAGAAAACAGAAGCTTTAAAAATATTCTAAAATGTTTAATTTGTGTCTGGTATAATGTGTATAATATCGAGGATGGGTATTGTTAAAGCTCTTGGCATCTTATCACCATAACAAGGCCAATAAATACAAGATACATATACATTATACATACATATATACGATGTTCAGACTGAGATTAAAAAATATATAAACAAGGAAAAAAGATTTAAAGATGTTATGAACAAATATTAATATCTAGATCTTGATGTATGTATTTATATGATCTGACACAAACTGATCTATCTTGATGTATGTATTTATATAACTAGACATAAACTGACATAACTAGTTGTATGTATTTATATGATCTGACATAAACTGACCTATCTTGATGTATGTATTAATATGATCTGACATAAACTGACATATCTAGATGTATGTATTTATATGATCTGACATAAACTGATCTATCTTGGTGTATGTATTTATATGATCTGACATAAACTGACCTATCTTGATGTATGTATTAATATAATCTGACATAAACTAACCTATCTTGATGTATGTATTAATATAATCTGACATAAACTAACCTATCTTGATGTATGTATTAATATGATCTGAAGACATGAACTGAGAGCATAAAGCAGATTTACCAACCCCCGAGCTACCCAACATGAGAACCCTGAAATATAAATCTTTAAAAGTATAATTTAGAAATAGATTTATATAAAGATGAAACCAACCATACTTCGATAGAACATATTGGAAAAACATCAAAATATAGAATAAAAAGTTCAAAATATTACTATCTGCCGATAAATAAATATAAATTACATCTTTTATACATATTTTATATAGATAGATACTAGCTTGGGAACCCAGTGTTGCCCAGTGTACTCATAGTTACTCCCTCCGTTTACCCGCACTTAGTCTAAAATTACAATTTCAGCTTTTTTCCTCTTAAAAGCTTATAATCTCAAAACCATGTTAAGAACATTACTGTGCTTCTCCCAATATATATGTACTAGCCTTGTAGGGCGCTTCGTGCCCATCTTCTAAATTAATTAATAAATAGAAGAAGATGTAAAAAAGGCGTTCATAATTTATAATCGGACTAACAAACAAACAAATAAACACACAGATATATATATATATATATATATATATATACCTGGATTTTAAGTATTCTAGTATTGAATCTGCGTACTCCAAGGACGTTAAATCATCAACTGCTAGAACAACCAGGATACAATGTGGTTGATACTTAGATACCAAATCCTCAGCAGATATATCTCCAGCCTGAAAGGGACTGTTAATGTAATTTTCAGTGACCCTCCTTGCAAAAACAGTCATGCCCGACTTACAACGGTATCCTTGTAATCTTAATCTGAACAAACTATCGTTCTTCATACTCGATGTTTAATTCTAATAATTTCTCCATTGCTTCAAATGAGCCAATTCACTTTCGCAAAGAAACCGCAAATGAAAATGAACAGCTTACTAGCTATTGTTCCTAATTGTTGTTGCATTACTAGCTAGTGTTCCTAATTGTTGTTATATTACTAGCTAGTGTTCCTAATTGTTGTTATATTACTAGCTGATGTTCCTAATTGTTGTTGCATTACTAGCTAGTGTTCCTAATTGCTGTTATTTTACTAGCTAGTGTTCCTAATTTTTGTTGCATTACTAGCTAGTGTTGCTAATTGTTGTTATATTAATAGCTAGTGTTCCTAATTGTTGTTACATTACTAGCTAGTGTTCCTAATTGTTGTTGCATTACAAGCTAGTGTTCCTAATTGTTGTTGCATTACTAGCTAGTGTTCCTAATTGTTGTTGCATTACTAGCTAGTGTTCCTAATTGTTGTTGCATTACTAGCCAGTGTTCTAAATTGTTGTTACATTACTAGCTAGTGTTCCTAATTGGTGTTACATTACTAGCTAGTGTTCCTAATTGTAGTTGCATTACTAGATAGTGTTCCTAATTGTTGTTATATAACCAGCTAGTGTTCCTAATTGTTGTTATATAACCAGCTAGTGTTCCTAATTGTTGTTATATTACTAGCTAGTGTTCCTAATTGTTGTTATATTACTAGCTAGTGTTCCTAATTGTTGTTACATTACTAGCTAGTGTTCCTAATTGTTGTTGCATTACTAGCTAGTGTTCCTAATTGTTGTTACATTACTAGCTAGTGTTCCTAATTGTTGTT